GCTGCTGAAACAGCAAGGAATGCTGATACTGAATGGTTGTTATCATCTCAGAAATGAAAGTGTCACTCTATGAATAGGTGATAAATACCAGCTGAACAAAATTACCTTTATTTAGCATAAAAAACCTGTGATATTTTAGCTGCATGTGTCTTCAGTGCCTTTAATCCCCACTTAAAATCAAATGGCAGGTAGCCAAAAAAAACAGAAAATAAGACTAAGAATGTAAAAGCTTATACAGTTATATTTTCCCATCTCCTACTGATAGTATTATAAGAGGTCCCTCCAGGATCTTTACTGATCTTCACATGTGTGTTGAAAACTAATGAGACTCAATAAAAACCTGAGATATCTCACACATATTTGAGTGTAGTTCCTTTGAAAATATTAACTTTAGAGGAAGGATTCCAAGCTGGGTTTTGGCTCAGCCAAGATGAGAACAACAAATGGAAAAATGCTTCAGCCATTATTGACTTTCAGTTTCACCTCTGACAAGAAAAAATATACCTCTTCTCATGTCCTTCACGTCTCAAACACTTCCTTAGAAGATGATAAACATGAAGCATGGACAGGCTGGATAAGGTTAATAATTTATATGGAAAGAAAGAAGTTAGAATTTACTGTCTTCTCCAAAACTCACCTGTTCCCTAACTTTGAATATCTGGTCACACAACAGCTCATCTCTGTATGTTTGGTTTTGCCTCGTGTTTTCACTCACTGAGTACCTGAAGAAATTCTGTTAATCTTGGTCTGCAACTTCAAGTGACCTATGTTGCCCAGTTGCTTGCATGCTCAGTGCTTCCCTCATAGGCTTCATGGATAAAGTACTGTGCAAGAAAGGAATCTTAATCTGTCAAGAATTCTGGAGCTTATTTCAGAAATGGTCTGGATATTCCCACCCTGTCAAAATTGACAGCAAACACTTACAGTCAACAGCTTCAGTTTGAGCACAAGGAAGCAAGTAAACCATCTCATGAAACAGTGGCAAAAAAAGTTCAAGAAAGTTTGTTGACGTTATTTGAAAGGGAAATATGATCCAGTTTGCCTCCCAACTATCTTTTTTTTTTTTTTTTTAATCAAGTTTCACTGAAATTACTCTGAACTGTTTCCAATCAGACAATGCCATTGTATGGGAAATCCATGAATTTAAAAGTGACACCTGTATATGTGATTTTGTGAAGGGTGATTTTTCCTGTTTCTGGGAAAGCTGATGTCAAGTCAGCTACCCACAAACACTGAGAAAGCAGTACTTCATTCTCGAGAAACTAAGCTTTGTGCAGAAATGCCATGAAAGGGACAAAGAATACAGGATAAAGCTTATGTCTAAACCATGCTGCTGTGTACCCTGTTTTCATCCAAAAATCCATTTACTCTGGCATGTCTGAGATTTGGGTTAACTAGTGTGCTTGGTGGTGTTTCTCCATCTCTAATGTATAAATCCTCAAAGATGTGCTGACTTCCATCCTGAGTACCAGTGTAATCTTGGACCTCAGAAAAAAACCCCCAGCAAAATGATGCTCCTCTCTCTGTGAAGGCTGCACATAGCAAAGCAGGCTTTACAAAGCCATAGCCAGAAATTTTTTCACATGCTAAAACTTTAATGTACATTCCCAAGGCTATACCTTCCCTGCCAAGGAAAACATAAAACCAAGTATATTTCAAACAGGGATAGAACAGAGGGATACAAATGTTTATCAGAAGCTTGAGGCTGCATTTATCAGCAAATTTCCATCAGCCTCTGAGGTGCCCTGTGGTGTCCCTGTGGGCATGCTGGCTCCCCTAGGGCACCAGGACTGCTTCTCTCATCCTGGCTGAGTGCCCTGGGCCTCCCCGGTCCCAGGGTGAGTTTGCTGTCTGATGGAGATTTTGCAGCACAAAGTGACATGTTTTGTGCCTCTTTTTCCCTTCTGGGTTTTTTTAGAAGGTTGTCATCTCTTCTCCTGTAACTATGAGCCTGGGGAAACAACCTCCTACAAACAACATGCAGCTTTGTAATATCATTGCTCTTTTTTACTTTTCCCTTAAAAAAGAGAGCACAGACAAGTGATGATAGGAAACAAGATTTTTTTTTTTTAATTTTTAAAAAAAATTAAAAAGGAAGGGTGAAGAGTGAGAGATGGACACAGAGCAGACCACACTCCTCCCATGTCCCTGGCCTTTTCCTTATGCATTCAAATCTTGAAAATTTTGGCACATATGCTTTGGAAGATCTTCCCCAGTAGTGCTTCCAAGTTCACCATTCCCATGTTTTCAGGCTAAATTCAATCTTGCATTCAATGATATGAGCTATTTTCTGAAGCATCTTAGCCTCAGTAACTATACTGGCAATAAGAGTGATGAGCAAATATCTCTCTGGACTTAGTTCCATTGTCAAATGCTCTAGAAATCCAGCTTGCAATTTCAAGGATCTATTGAAGCATCAAGTCACACTCCATAATGTGTGAAAAATAATGAAAAATGGCCATTGGCCAGGCTTTGTTTGGTAATTCCTTATGATTTATAATCAGTTCCAAGTGGCACTGGCCTTCAGTAAATAAAAATATATGGGTTTGTTTATTTCCATGACTAAGATTAAATCTTTTTTTCCCCCTATGAGTACACCGAAGTTTTGTTAACTCATAAACTACTGCAGTCTCTTTTTATTTTTTTTTTCATTTTCCACACTGTTTAAAATGACCACATCAACATTTGTCCTGAAATCCTCCATGGATAATTTACTTTAAACTCTGAAATGTCTAATTAATTCCTCCTATTTCTCATTTTCTTCAAAAATTACATGTGAGATGATCGAGACAGTGCTCTCAAGAACTTACAGCAGGTACATATTTCTCTTTATAATTCAGCGCCCTAATACTTTTGGAGAACACAAATTGCTGAATATTTTCTAAAGATTTACTTGGGTTTCTGCCAACTTTTTTCAAGTATGTTATTATTAGTGTTCCATGGTATTTACATTGTTTGTCCTCCTTCAGCCCAGAAGCACAGTTTCTTTCTGTGGCTACTCTGAGGCAGTTTTTTTATAAAATCTAAATGTCATCTGTATAAATCTTACAAACCTGAAAAGTTGGCAAAATTCATCACAATTTTCCTCAGATGCTAAATGCAGCCTAAATACACAACTGAGAAAAGACTGCAGCTCACAAATGTTTCAAAACAATTTTTAAAACCCTTTTTTTTTTTTTTTGCTAATATGAACAACCACCAGACCCCTGTCACAGACCTCTTTTGTTTCTTCAGACCCATCAATGGATGAACAAGGAGTTTCCTTCATCTTTCCCATAATTAAAATAATTATTTTTTCTGTTCTTCCAGTCATTCCAGAGGAATGAGCATATTTATCTCCTCTTTAAAGTGTTGCTTTACAATGTGAAGGGATCACATAGTTGTGGGAAATGTTGGACAGCTCAGTGCCTTCCTGGTTTTTTTTTATCCATTGGAAAATAGCCTCAAATATTTTTCAGATTTTTTTTTCGGGTTATTGCACAGGAACTCAGTGCTTAGATGAACTTGATGCACTGAATTGCATAGCACTTGCCCTTTTCCCCATCTATTATGAATTTGTATATTTATTTCTCATATATCTTCTGTGGGCTTAGCCTTGTGCTTTTAAACACTGCAAGTCAACGATTTTCCTCTCCACTCCCTTTAATTTAAGTGTAAAACAATTCTTGACAGCATCTTCCTATAAGGGTCACCTGAAAATAAATACTACCCTAGTTGTCCCCAGACACATCCACTGCCTCAGTGGACATTCTGAGACAGGTCTAACACTTTGCATGTGCCAGGTGCACCTTGTTGAATCTTCCAAGCTCTTTCAAAGTGATATCACCTTTCTCAGTTCCTTGATCTCTTCCAGTGGTTCAGACATCACACTGGCTTGTGCTTTTTATCACAGTGTACAAATGACACAGGCTATTCCTGTTCTGAATCTCAAACATGACCTGATCTCTTTTCTAGAACTCAGCTCTCAAATATAATTTCTTCAGCCCTAGTGCAGTCACAGATTGTTCTGAATGAAACTTCTTATTGTCCTATCTTTCTGTTTTTAGAAATTCCTTCTGTGTCTTATATATTCTATGACTCTTTCTTTAATGTGTTTTTCTAATTAGTTTCCAGTAAGTCTCCCAAAGTCAAGATTGTGTAAAACTATTTTTCTTTTACTATCTTCCTCTTTAATGTCAGAAATTGCTTGCAAGTCTAGAGCACTATATTATTTAAATCCCCCTTCAAGTAATTTTTCAAGCTTACAAAATTTCAGTGCTAGTGGGACTTTCTTAGCCCCTTGCTCTTATCTGGATTATGACCTAGTTCAATGATGCTCAAGTCATCTGTTTTGAATTATGTCCCATTTCAAACAGATACGTAACATCACAATATTCACAGTGGCTTATCCTTCAAAGACTCATTTCTCAACACTTATCCATCACAGACTCTGGCATCACAGGATAGCTGCACTTACCAAGAATATTCAGAGAATTTTAGAGATAAGCTAGTTTCAACCACCCCATGCCAAATTCCTTTTATGCTAATGTGGCAATCTTACTGTCCTTACCTACAGGTGGAATGGCACAGAAGAGCCAAGACAAAAAAAAGCAGCTTTCCTTCCAGGGAAATATTTGTTGTTGTGCTTCTACAACATTTCTGGCTTATGCAATTCTGGTTAGTCTTAGAAGAGTGGGGAAAGGCAGCCAAAACTTAGCTCTGGCCAGTAGCCAAGGGGCAAGTCAGTGCCAGCATGATAAAAGCAACCACAGCTTCACCTCAGCTGTAAATACAAGGGTTGGGACTTTCCCTGAGACTTTGACGGGAAGTTCTTTTAATCCTGCGCAGACAGGAGGCTTGCAACATCCCCTCACATATTCCTGCCCTGTACACTCACCCTGGCTTCCTCTAGATAAATACCAGCTGGGCTGTCAGGGCTCCTGTGCCTGCTCCAGGCAGTCAGAAATCTCTGCAGCTCCTGAGCTTTCCCTTGGTCCATGCACAGCATCTCACCAGCTGGGAGAGCACTGGCTCGCCTGGGGCGGCTGCGTCAGGTTGAGTGCCCAGGTGAGTTTTACACAGATGACGCAGGTTTCTCTCATTCCTGCAGGTGAGAATGGGGAGCAAAATGGCTAAACTGTCAACCTGAAAATATTAGGTGGGCTTGAAGTTAAATTTTTAATTCTCTTGATGAAATTTTAGCCGAGCCTTGCTCTCTGCTAGACAAGAAGACCACAAAGCCAGGCCATGTCTCATGGGTTTCTATTGACATTATACAATCTATTTTTAACTAAGAGCTGATGTAAGGAAGCACTGAGAAACAAGAAAGTAATTTTATCTGTAAAGTCGGGACAAATCAGAACTTCAGATCTGTAAGTTAATATTCAGAGAGCTTACATAGCAGATAACAGGCTTATTTAATCTTCCAGAGGTGTTTGTTATAGTTACAGTGAAGAAAGCTTCTTTCTTTCCTATGCTAGAGCCAAAATATTTGTTTGAATTTTAGCAGCAAGGGCAGGGTGTTGTTATACCCTGAATTATAAGTTATCAGTAATAAAAATTGGAACTAATGATTATTTTTACTTCTGGATTCATATGTGGATTTCAAGTTTTTCCTTTCCATTCAAGCAGCATACCAATTTTAATCCTGTTTAATATTTTATAAGCAAGGGGCTTCAGTGCTGCAGAAAGAAATGGATTTTTCTTAAATATTGTCTTATACCAGTTCCACATTATTAATTCAGAGAACATTTGCAACTGTCAGAACTGTTCTTCAGCTTTGATATAGGAAAATTTCATATCCTCTCTAAATCTGTAACACAAACTGTCACTCAGACTGTAGGCCAATTTTTTCAAGTCTGTTAAGACTTCATAAAATGATGCAATTAGTGGAAGTTGAAAATTCTTTTTTAGATGTGGCCTTTCTGAAGTTCCTAGATTTGTTAATAGCAATGATTTAGACTAGCATGAAGTAGCAGTGTAAGTGTATACCAAAATATTGCAATAGTCATTGAGAAATCAAGCATCACTGTGTTTTCTTCCCCCATATTGGACTTTTCTCATAAAAATATATTAGGCACTTTTCATATTTGTACATTTTTAGGCAGATGGTATGTTTTTAATTACTTCTCCTAGCTACAGGCAGAGATGATAATCAGGTGAAGGGTCTACTTTGTGTTGAGAAATTATGACAAAGTGTGTAGCCTACTCGTAGCTGGTTTCAGAGCAGGAGCTCACTTGGGAATGAATCTGCTGCCCTCCACCACGTTCTCATTCCATGTCTCACACTGCAGAGCAGCTGGGGACATGCAATCTTGGCTGCTCATGGATGAAACAAAACAATCTCACAGCTAATTGCAGTTAAACTCACAGGACCAGACCAGAGCTACTCTAAAGTAAAAACCCCACCGGCATGGGCATTGGGTGCTCCCTATAAACCCAGTCTCTCAAAAATACAGACAGTAACCTAAACTTTCAGGCAGAGTATTAAAATCTACATATTTTAAGGTCTCTTTCACTGCTCCCCAGTCTATTTCTTATTTAAACCTTTTTATTTGGTAACTTCAAGATTTGAGCCAAACATTTCTTCCTTTGTCATCTTGGTTGCTGAACTAGCAGAGTGGAACTGCAACATTTTCAGTATCTTATTTTCTCTGGGACATTTTAGAGGCATTGGCATTTTGACTTTATTTTTATTCTATTCAGATTTTCATGTATATTGATTTTGGGGTTCAAAAGCGGGTTTTGGGAAGAAAAGGTAGGGACAGGTATGTAAATGCAACATTTGAATGCTTACTGCAGTTCAGATGTTGGGAGCTTTTTCTCCATGTGTGCTCTAAAACAAAATATTGGGGGTTTTTATCCTCTTCTTGACGTCACTGTTTAGAAGCAGATACTCTTCTTTTTAAAATTTAGTGAGAGCGCTGTCAATAAAATACTCATTTAATTCACTTACTAGATGTTTGTAGGCAGGGCTGTGAGAAGCAGGTGTACTCCCAAATGTCCTGGTGAGCCCTTCCTGAGCTCCTGACAGCTCTGTCCTCCCAGCTGTGGAGGTCTGGCAGGGTGCTGGGACTGTGCCAGGTGGCAGTGTGGGTGAGCACTGGTTATACTGGTGCTTCTTGGAGACAGGGAATAGCTGCCAGCAAAAGCATTCATTAGAGGGCTGACAGCTGCCTCCCAGCTTCATAGGGACTCCTGAGTGCAGCCCTGGATGCACTACTGCAAAGTGACTTTCAGCTGCTGTTTTTACTTTACTAAACTGTTGAGTGTTGTCTCTCCTGGTGGGGTTACCAGAGAATTGCCCTAACTTTGGTGTGGTACTGTGCTGGAGACAGGCTCAGGCTGTCTGGCTTGGGACTGCTCTTGGCTGAGCTGCCTTGTCTGTGGGCTGGCAGAGTGACACAGATCAGCCTGGCTCAGCAGCAAGGCTAGGGCTCACCTCCCACTGGGACACGCAGTTCCCATGACTGTCTTTGGAAAACATGAGGTTAAGATTAAATCAGGAGTGAGGAGAGGTTCTTAGCTATGGATGATTTCCCTACATGTGTTTTTCCCAAGTGCAGCAGCCTCCCCAGGACAAATAAGAATGTGCAGAAAAACCACCTCCATAAACAGCACGATGTCCCTAAAAAATTAGAATATTAATAAATTTGATTTGAATTCTGAAACATGAACTGCTCCAGAGCTTCATATAACTTGGCACTTCAAAGGTGCTCAATTATAATAATCTGCTACAAACTGCTTGATCAATGGTGAAAAGGCTTAGCCATCGAATTCAGACAAGTTACAGCACCTGAGGACTGGGATCAAAGTGTTTTACTGCTGCCTACCACCTTTAGTGATGCCAACTCTGTGAGCAAGTTTCTGGAGGCCTCTAGATAAACAAGCCTTAAGAGCTAGAAAATTAAGTGGAGAAGTTGATTGCCAAAGAGCAAAACACTTTCTGGCATCATTAAAGCAGAGGATGGTTTGATGAATGATTTCTCTGGGGTGGTCCTATGCTATGATGACTGTGAGAGCAGGAAATATGTAAAAAGACATGAGTACTCACAAAAAGTGGATAATTATGCAATAATCATAATAGCATAGAATTCAATAAAGACAAAGGGCTTATTCAGAAAACTCAGTTCCTTATTTTGTATTGAATTTACTTGCTGGAGATGCAAGAGAGGGTCACCCTGCAGGAGGGAATTATTTTGTCCAATTAGGCAATTACAGAAGCAGCATGACACTTTGTTTCCTACCTCCTTGCACCCTCTTCTTTGCTCTTCAGCTAAGTTTAGTAAAAAGCTTTTCATTTGTCTCTGTTCCAAATATCCACTTTTTCTTTAACTTTTTTGCTTATTGCATGTCTTGACATGCAGAACCAAGAGTGACTTCTGCCTCGACCCCACATATTTCACAGGGGTAGGAAATGCGGGTAGGTCTCAGACCCTGACTGAGACCCAGGAGCAAGGAGAAGACAGAAATCAGGGTGACTTCTCCCTGAAGGCCACAGCCCCTGTGTAAGAGGGCACAGGCAGCAGGGATTTGTATGAGATGTTTTGTAAGGGTTCCTGTCCCCGTGAAGTGGCACAGGACAACTCTGGCTGCCCTGTAAGCAAGCTGGGGGCAGTGGTGTACCCCAGAGCAATGCCCCAGGGCAGTTCTCTGGCAGATGCCATTTGTACCAACATCTGGGCTGGTAGAGGAGCTAATGGGTCACAGCTGTGCACACCCATCCCTGCTTGCCAGGCAGGAATCACCAGCAGCAGCTCGTGCATCTGCAAAACTTGGGCTGAACTCAAAGCAGGCTTAGGACAAAAAATAAACAACAACAACAACAACCACAAAAAAAAAAAAAAAAAAAAAAAACACCCTATGTGTTTCCTTTTCTCAGCAGAGGATACTGGCCTGAAAAGCTCTGTCAATATTTTACTAATCCTGTCACTGGGGTTTTTTTCTATTTTAAAAGCATGTTTCTAAATTCAGGCTTCTCAACAATTAATTTTCAAAGCCTGTAACTAAAGGTTATTGCTTAGAGAGTTTTGAAATCAGCAGCTCAGTAAGAAGGGAAAATTCTTCCATCTTGAAAAGAATTTTAAAATTTGCCTGATAAAGATTTTTCCGTGTTGGAAAATTCAACAGCATAAAATAATCTATCTCACTCTCTTATTTTTTTTCCTTTTGTTTTTGGGGTATTTTGGGTTGGTAGGTTGGTTTTTCTTGTTTTATTTGTGGGGTTGGCTTTTTTTTTGAGGACTAATTTCCTCTGAAAATATCCATGTTCATTTTGTCCTGGAGGCAGGCATGTCTCTGCAGAAGCCGCTCAGATTCAGTCAAATGAGAGAGGAAAAATGTTCAAGTGCACATAAAATAAAAAAAAAGGAAACCAAAAGGAGCAAGTAAATATAATTAGTACACTTCACATCAAGTGAGTAAGGGAACTGATGCAGTTATCCACTGTTTTGGATTGTTCAATCATATGTCTTTAAACATAGATTAATGAACTTTCTGCAAAATGTGCTTGGCCTCATTCCAAAATGTTGCAAATCCACATTTATTTGTTTTGGCAAGAAAATTTCATATTCATGCTGTTTGCTTAAATCTTTCATCATATTCACACTTCTCAGATTTCTAAGAGTGTAAGACAACCACGAACATTTTTGTTACACCACTGCAGCCACCTTACTCTTTCTTTTGTGAAAAGTGCAGTAAAACAACTGGGCTTCGTTTCCCCACTTTGCAGCCCAGTCCAAAAGCAAGAGAACTGCAAATCAAGAATTCATTACTGTAAATGGGTAGAGAGTCAGGTTTTTCATGCTCTCCTAGAGCTCATAATAAATACGTGGCGTGAACTCTTACATTTTTAGTGTTTGGAAGGTCTGGTTTTGGTAGGTTGTTGGTATAATTTCAGCTATTTCTGGTCTCTGCAAGGCATTGATGGCTGTCAGTAAAATCTTGCCTTGCAACATCCCCTCCTTGCTCTCCATTACTGTCAAGAGCCCACGACGATGTCGGGTCAAAACTGCTTCACTTGCTTCCTTCTCTTTTGGTGGCACAGGCATGCATTTGGATGTGTATAC